AAAATTATAAAAATCAGTGGAAAATGACCAAAATCAGCTCCTGAAATCAGGAGATTTTCAATCAGGGAAAATTAAAAAAACCAGGAGACTCCTGGTCAAATCAGGAGGTTTGGTAGCCCTGGTCTCGTCCATGGGTTATTGCAATTGAACATTCGAGTTGTTCCATATATATATTTTGCTGATTCTACAAGTGAGTATCGTATTTAATTATTGAAAATATTTTACAGAGATTGAGAACGATTCATTATTTAAGAATGTATTTTTCTTTTTACATGAAATATGCACGGGCGTGAATTTTGTTTTTATATCGATCGTTTTTTTTTCTTTAGTCTGTGCTGCAATCAGTTGGTCAAAAAGTGTCCAAAACGATTCTGATGAATTAATTGTTGTTTTCATTGTTTCATATTTTTATATACGTGATCTAGATCGGTTAGGTGAGTCGTGTTTAACTTTTACTTTCATTGCTTAGTCATTTCTTCCTTTTAGTGAACATTAGCTTGATGTCAATATTACGAACAGTTTATGTCTGGTGCATTGGTTATTTTGATCCAACAATCGAGTTGTTCGATTTCGATTTTGTCGATTCCAAGGGTGAGTATCCGATTTAGTTAGGATCAATATTTCAGTGGATGGGGAAGAGTTCGATTCTTGACATTGTTTTTTCCTTTTGCATGACTTCTCCGCCGCGGCTAATCGTTGTTTCGTATCCAGCGTTTCTTTCTTTAGTCTGTGGTACAGTTTATTGGTCAACAACTGTCCAAGACGATTCTGATGAATTAATTGTTGTTTTCATTGTTTCTTATTTTTCTACAAGTGGTCTGGATCGATCAGGTGAGTCATAGTTTAGTATTATTATCAATGGTTTGTGATTTCTTCCTTTTAGTGAACACTAACTTCATGTAAATATTACGAACACTTGATGTCACGTGCATTGGTTATTGCATGCAGCAATCGAGTTGTTCGATATCTATTTTGTCTATTCTACGGGTGAGCATCGGATTTAGTTACTGAAAATATTTCAGAGAGATGGAGAACGATTCATTCTTTTAGAATGTATTTTTCTTTTTTTCATATATTGTGCACAGGCGTGAATTTTGTTTTCATATTGATTGTTTTTCTCTTTTAGTCTGTGCTGCAGTCCGTTGGTCAGCAAATGTCTAAATGATTCTGATGAATTAATTGTTATTGTAATTCTTTTACATTTTTCTATAAGTTGTCTCGATTGATCGCGTGAGTCATACTTTTATTTTATTATCAATGCTTTCCCATTTCTTTCTTTTAGTGAACATTAGCTTCATGTAAACATTGAGAACAGTTTATGTGTCCTGAGTTTGTTATCGGAATCTATCAATGGTATCGTTTAATATGGATTTTTTTTCATTCTATGAGTGAGCATCCGATTTAGTGAGCTAAAATATTTCATAGAGACTGCCAACAATTCGTTACTTTCCACTCTGCTTTGTTTTGTGAATGAACTATGCAATGTCGCGAACCATTTGTTTATATTGATCGTTTTTTTCCCTTTAGTCTATGCTGCTGTCCGTTGGTCAACAACTGTCCAAAATGATTCTGAAGAATTAATTGTTATTGTGATTATTTCACATCTTTCTGTGATCTAGATCGATTAGGTGAGTGATGTTTCACTTTTAGTTTTATTGTTAGTAATTTCTTGGTTTCAGTGAAAATTAGCTCCGTGTCAATCCTTAGGAACAGTTTATGTCTAGTGCATTGGTTATTACGACCCAGAAATCGAGTTCTTCAATGCCAATTTCGCTGATTCTACGAGTGAGTATCCGATTTAGTTATTGAGAATACTTTAGAGACATTGAAAAGGATTCATTTTGTAACATGTATTTTGTTTTGCTTTTGCATGGATTGCGCATGTGCGAGAATTTTCTCTCGTATTGATCGTTTTTTTTCTTTAGTCTGAGGTGCCCTCCTTCCGTCGACAACTATCCAAAACGATTGCAATGACTTAATTGGGTTTGCGTTCGTTTTCAATCTGGTGATACGTTATCTAGATCGATCAGGTGAGTCATGTTTGACTTTTATTTTATTTTCTCAGCCAGTGCTTTCATTTAGTGAGCATTCACTTCGTGGACATATTCAGAACAGTTTATGTGCCGTGTATTGGTTGTTGCAATGGATCAATCGAGTCTCTTAATGTTTTTTTTTTCATTGTATAGTGAACTACCCAATTTAGTTGCTAAAAATATATCAGAGATTGTGACAAGAAATCGTTTCTTTACACTATGTTATACGTTTGCATGAGTTGCGCGACGCCGCGAGTCTTTTATTGTATTCATCGTTTCATTTGTTAGTGTTTAATGACCAGCAACTTTCGAAAATTATTGAAAGTAATTGATTGGTATTGTCATTTTTTTACGTTTTGCTATAGTTTATGTAGATCGATCAGGTTTGGTCGTATTTTACTTATCTTTTGAGGTTATACGGATGTAATTAAGTTATCGTGAGTGTCTCAGAAAGATTGAATCAAAATATTTGCAGGTCCGTTTCTTTTTGATTGTGTTTAGTTATGATGAACCTTCTATGCTTTATTTGTGTATTTATCGTTCCAATGTTGAGCGATCAATATAGTTTCGTTATGTTGAGCGTTATGATATTCAATATTGCGAGAAATCTTGTTTTCGAGTTTCTGTAGTTTTATGTTATATGATTGAGTTTGATTAGTATGCAGTTTGGAGATGCGTTTTTCCTATGTTCAGTTACGGATTTAGCTTAATCGTCAACAATAGTTTTAAAATAAACACAATGTGATTTTTGTCCTTTGGATTTTCACGTTGTGGAGTTAAGGGGATCTGTAATGTGATACGGTCAGCTTTTTTTCCTGTTGTTCAACCAGTACTGTAATTGTATGATTACCAATTTTTCAAAAATATTTTCAACAGTATGACTGCTAGTTTAGTCCGTTTCTAAATATTTATCTTTTGCGATGAAGATGATTGTTTACTACTCACATTAATTTTCGTGGCAGTTTCATCTCGACTTTTGATGTTAAGAATCGAATTGTTTTGTGCTCGTGTTGTTTTCTATTATCGCTGATGCCGAGTCACACGCTGCGTGGATTTTATCATCTGTCGTCAAATCTTGTTCTCTGTTAGTTTCACGTCAATAGCGTCATTGACTTCATCACCGTCGCATTTTGAGTATCACAGAGCGAGTATCTTCATCCATATAGTTATGCGTCGATGAGTTTTGCAATATCACGAGGAGGATTTATTGTGCTACTAAGTAACTGCTTCTGCTAATGTACTTATTTTATGTGAGTTATGGATATTGACTCTCATCATTTGTTGAATAACAAAGAACCAGTCTTTCAGGCTGCAATTTGATTCTTGTTCTTGAAGGCAAATAGTTATATTAGATTCGTCTGAATTCTCTAAGTAATTTTCTCAATCGGTTTGGTTGATGTGGTTTAGTGTAATCACACTGTTGATTGATTATGCACTTATTTACCACTTTAGTTCACATTTATTTCTAGTTTTCTCAGGAAGGCGTAACCAATCAAGCCGACTACCTGGCTGCTCATTGCTGCGTTTTTCGCAATTTGTAGTTTCACTATACAATGCTTGTCTTCTATTGATTTACACGCGTTTTTCAATTGTATCAATCAGGCCACTTCTATAAAGCTATTGCCCTTGTCCCATATTTGGGTTTACCCAAGGAGGGGAAAAGCGAGACTCCGCACTACAGTGTTCTCGTTGTACGTTCAGGCGATATGATAACTATGCTTCAAAAAAGTTTAGCAAGTTGAAGTCTACTGTACCACTGTATTAAGGTATAGTAGTGGGAGTTCAGGCAGCGCCTGTCTATCTGACAATAAAACCAAAATACTTCGTTTTATCTCATTCATTTCAAATCTTGCACTACACTGAAGTGTTTTGGCCTTATTTTCAGATAGACTGGTGTTGGTCGGACTTCCACTACCACACAGCAACACAGATGGACAGCAGACTTGAAATCGCTAAAACTTTTTCAAGCACAGTTATCGCATCGTCTAAAGTGAAGCGAGTACACTGTAAAAAAAAAGGGTAGAATAATAAACCCTTTAAGGGTTTATGAAAGTGCAACGTAGACTAAACCCTTTTACCGTATGTGAAAAGTTTCTTAATCCCTTTCATATACCCTTAGAAGGGTTTATGAAAGGGTATTTGATTTTCATAAACCCTAAAAGGGTTTAGTCTACGTTGCACTTTCATAAACCCTTATAAGGGTATTTAATTTTCATATACCCTTTCATAAATGCTTCTAAGGGTTTATTACAATTTCCATTCAGACAAGCCCCTTAAAAAACGCGTTAACAATCTTTCAGAAAAAGAATCCAAAAACAAATGAGTAGACTATGATTCTTTTTCGTTTGTGTTTACAATGCGCATCACAACGTATTTTTTGTAATTTATCGATCCGATTAAAATTTTGGAACTTACTGCGTTGTCCTAGGTTCGATCATGAGATGTATTGGTTGATAGTCCAAGATNAAAAGAGACAGATATGGAACTAGTATAAAATTTTCAATAAGAATTTTTCTTTTGTTCGAATAAGTATTTTGTTTTTGCACCTAATTAGGTCATTTACCTTCGAAAGTTTGGTCTGAGATTATGACGAACATACTTCAAATTGATTTACCTTGGATTACATTACGTTCAAAACTTGTACAAGAAGAAAAACAAGGAATTCTTTATAATACTATGTTCGATGAATATGCTCGAGATAATACGAAATTTCAAGTAGTACAGAAAAACAAAAGATGGAATTATTAATTAGTACGGTATTCTTGTCGTTTTAGTTTAATTCTGGTATTATGGAAGATTTATATATATGGAAAGATTTGCTTATACGATTATTTAATTTAATAGATCAAGATCATTCAGGTATGAATCCATCTATTGATGAATATTTATTTATTATATACATATATCATAGGTTTTATAAGTCTTAATGAATTTTCTGATGTTCTCAAACTTCTACTTTATGATGGCAATGATAACGATGGTATCAATGAAGCAAATATTGCAGAACTCAGTTCTGCTATGGATTTAGATAAAAATGGAAGAATTGATATTAATGAATTTCTTGGTAAGATACAAGCATTAGTTTGATCAAGTTTTTTCATAGATCGAAGTCAAATTGTAAGTTTATTCATCTGACGGTATGCTGAAAAACTGGGGAATAGTATTTCAAATTTCTATAAAAATTAATATTCTGTTTACAAAATTAATTATAATACATGTGTATTGTGATAATGATCTTTCCTTTTTTAGTTTTTTCTTATACGCAATATGTATGTTAAGTTATTTAAGATATCATGAAAAAGTTAGCATTAGACACATTTTCCAAGAAGTTATCAATGAAAAAATCTAACGTTCACATCATACATTGTAGTTTGAAAAGTGTCCGAATTGATGCTGCATTTTTAGAAGCAACAATGTACATTCTGTAGATGGCTTCTAAAACTAGAAAATTTTAATCGACGTTTTTCTTTCTTAGTATTCCTAGATTTATCCAGAAAAAACCAATTTGAAGTGATACACATATTTCATGAGAATCGCTGTATGATGGCGAGGTGAAAAGTTTTGTTTCAGAATTATTCAAATCTCTCCACAGATGCGATTTGTGCTGTAGAGTTTATCCTGAAGTGTTTAACTTTTTTCTGGTTTAGTTAAATATATAGTTTCTAATTAGCTACTAATTAATTCAAAGTAATCTAAAAGAACTTATTTAAAAACTAAATCCTGGTAGAGAACTAAAGTCACATGAAAGCTGAGTATGTTTCGTTGTGTCTCAAAAATGACTGATATACAGTCTGTAATTGTTTCATTCAATAAAGAACATTCTTTTTTTCTCTTTAAGTATTTCGAACAAATATAATATCATATTTGAAATCACGAATTGAACAAACCTATCGAATTAATATTTTATGGACAATATATTTGAGTTTTGTTTTTATATTCTAGAAAGTTTTCGTATTGCTAATGTGAAGAAATCTGGAAAATTAAATGATCAAACAAACCAATCTGGATCATCAAATAAAATAGTTCAAAATACGAACTTATAATAAAAAAACAAAATGTTATTCAACATGACGAAATCATTATACGTACACATATTCAAACCTCAAATCATTTAAATATAAACCAATTAATCTACTTCTTTTTATACGATTGTTTTAGCTCATGTTTTCAAATATCATGAACATAATTTTTTTCTAAGAATCAATGACAAAAAGACATATTTCGATCTTGGAAGGTGTGGATGGATGACTGAGTATAGGAATGGGCATCCTTTTGTTTTTGGTCATCAAATGAGGATTTTTATTTAGGGATTTTCGAATTTCGATATAGTTTAAAATAGAAAACGCAGTGTGTAAACTACTGCTTCGCACAATAATTTCATTCCTTCCATACTACATAAAAAAAGAAAAAATTTGTTACGCTAAACATATTCCATCGCGATTCTCTAAACGTAACAATGCGCTTCTATCTTGAGTTTTGGGTGTGATGATATGATCTATACCCACACCCTCAAGATAGAGCAGACGCTTTACTGTTTATTGCTAATCCGTATAAAAACATAAATCTCATTATTTTTAGATTTTTTGTTTCAGAGATGCACTGCTATCTATTTTTTACACATATAATAGGAATAGGATGATACTGGGCGTAAGGTTTACATGTTTCAGAGTTGAGAGAAGCCACACATCTACTTGTAATATATTTATTTATTTATAGAATGAAAATGAAAATATGATAAGTTTTGCAAAAATTGTTTGTGAGTTCCCTTCATCCCGAGGTTTGCGTCATTGTACCAGCATTTGTATTGAATGACAGTATCAATGTTGGAGAATTCGTTGATGATGTCCCCACAGGTACTGCATTCGCTTGGTTGGCAGCATAAGTTATGCTAGAACCACTGCCAGAACCTAACGTTTAAACAACACTCATCATATTGGAATCACTATTATATCAGTATAAAGAGAAATTTACTTTGGACACCAATTGTGGCTGAAACACCTCCATCAGAAGCCTGAAAATATAAAAAGTCAACAACACCAGGTAGATTTTCATAGAAAACAATTTGGAAATGGTAATATTGTGTTGATTGACCAAAATGACTTTCATAAAATTCAAAAACTAAATTTCGATTCGGCGCTGTACCTGTTGTACCATAGTAGACACTTTGAGAGGTAGAAGCATAAATCATAAGATCATCCCAAAATCCAAATGCTGTTGGTCCTCCGAATTGACCATCCGGCAGATTGCCGTTCGTATATGCACTAGAGCAGCTACTGAGGCAGACAACCTAAAAGGATTGAATTCAAATATATTTGTTCTAATTGAAGAGTTCATTTTTCTACGAGGACAAATGATAATATTCAGATATAACACAAAAAATACTCTCTTTAACCTTTATTACGTGTTAATTCTAGCTGATATTCTGAAGAACTACTTTTGAAATAGTTTTTCATTTGAGAAAAGATATTCATTTTCTTTTCATATTAGTTGGCGTAACCATTTCAAATCAATAGCTAATACAAGCTCGATACTTATAGATGTAAGGGCCGTATGAACTTGCTAATCGTTTTTTGTGACATTAACACCGAATATGTCTCAACCCAACTATTGTGTTCATTCAAATAACAAAACATTTGTTTTTAAACGAAATACACGTCAGAATTCACAGTTTTGCTGTTTCAGTTACAAAAAATAATTTACTTAATAAAAATGGAAACTTACACCATTGCTTGTAACTGATGGACTCATGGTTGAATATCCGTACATACTAATACTGAATGGAATACTAAGTGTAGAATATGAGTCATCAACCGAAAACATTCCACCCCAGGTAGGAACTGCAACAGCGCCAGGAAGCAGTACGGCAGGTGCACTACTGCAAGCACCATTTGAACAACTCGTATAGCTAGATGGACATACATAACCAACTGAACCACAGTTGTTGAAGTCGATCAAAAGATTAACGCATGAACCCGATGGTATTTGTGTGTAACCAGTGGGACATGGTGATGTGGCTAAAATTGTAGTTCTTTGACTAATAGTTAATAAAAATATATAAACATACTTGTCGTGGTAGTAGCGCTAGTACTGGTAGTACTGGTGGTGGTTGTGGTAGTGGTTGTCGTGGAAGTGGTACTGGTAGTCGTGGTTGTGGGTGTGGTGGTAGTGGTTGTGGGTGTGGGNTGTCGTGCAGACAGGACTATTACTTTCTCATCAGTGTTATAGAATGTGTTATTCTCAATGGACGTTGTATAACCTACTACTATCATCAATGTATCTGATCTGCTTCTAAATATGATCTGTATGTCATTGCGCAATGTGATTAGGTTTCTGAACGTAGTTAATGTAAGGTGGAAATGTCTATCCTACCTTTTTCTGTTCTTTCTTCTCTTTCTCTCTCTCTCTCGTGTGCACATATATAAAGCGAGTACATTGTATTATACATCAGAACTGGAATGTAATCAGAACTGGAACAGTACTAGAAAATTGTAGAATGGAGTAGTGTAACTAACATCTTACACACCGAGGATAGCGGTAACGCTACTCTTCCAGTTTCTCTTTGTGATCACAAATAAAAAAGAAATAAAAGCTGCAGCAGTAACGAATATAAACTATCCATTTATCATTCAAACAAAATTCGTTACATATAGCAAAACGTAAAAAAATGACAATACCAATCAATTGCTATCAATAATTTTCGAAAGTTGTTGGTCATTAAACTGCATCACAGACTAACAAATGAAACGATGAATACAAAAAAAGACTCGCGGCGTCGCGCAAATCATGCAAACGTACGACATATTGTAAAGAAACGATTTCTTCTCACAATCTCTGATACGTATATTTTTCGCAATTAAATTGGGTAGTTCACTATACAATGAAAAAAAACACTAAGCGACTCGATTGATCCATTGCAACAACCAATACACGGCACATAAACTGTTCTGAATATGTCCACGAAGTGAATGCTCACTAAATGAAAGCACTGGCTGAGAAAATAAAATAAAAGTCAAACATGACTCACCTGATCGATCTAGATAACGTATCACCAGATTGAAAACAAACGCAAACCCAATTAAGTCATTGCAATCGTTTTGGATAGTTGTCGACGAAGGGAGGGCNGTCGTGGTGGTAGTGGTAGTGGTTGTCGTGGAGGTGGTAGTGGTCGTCGTGGTAGTGGTAGTGCTTGTCGTGGTAGTACTAGTGCTCGTCGTGGAAGTGGTACTGGTAGTAGTGGTTGTATGTTTATTTAGGATAAACAATTGAATGACCACAGCTAAAACGGTTATTGCCGCAATACCAAACAGAGCAAATAGAGCGATGCATAATTTTGTCGATAAACCCATTCTTCTGACTCTTTATTTCAAAAGAAAATTACGCATAATTAGGTTAGGTCAGTTTTTAAGGTGAGTTTACAACTTGACGGTATGCGTGTGGACATTCTCTTAAATTCACATATCTATCGAGTGTACCTGAGANGAGAATTCAAAAGCTGTAGACTATATTCAATATTACCTATGTCGAGTTGGATTTTCAGATTTTGCCATAATTACTTTTTGAACTGGAACCGTTGTCGAATTAAATGTAGCCCTTTTTAGTTTCACTAAATGGTATTCACTGACACTAAACGTTTATTCATATGTTATATATTTCGTTGATCTCTGTTTTGATCTTTTACGTAATCTTTCAACTATGACTGACACTCGTGATCGATTTTCATTCGTTATTGCGTACTTGTTAGTTTTTATTTCCCCCGGTTATTATTAGTGTTATCATCTTCTATATTATTGTATTGTTAATCAGAAAATAAAATATATTATACTATTAAATTTATGTATATGTTACGGCAACAAAATACATGAGACAGTCTGGTTAAGCTCTCAAATTGTTTAGGAGACTAAATGTTAGCTCTATTATAATATATTACCCAAAAGAGAGTCTTACAGTTCTCTCAACTAGAATGCATTGTGCTTTAATCTCAAACAAATTATGTTCTATTAAATTTCGCACTCTCTTCAGATAAAAAATTATAGATATAAACAACTCTGTTGATATTCAGAGCGTCGCATATTACACTTTATTCACTGAGTATTTTGATGGAACGCATCAAATTGTTCGGATTTGACATGGAAATGGTATACAAAACTGTTAGTTTCGATTTCTGGAATTTCATCGATTTTGACATTGATAGATTGCGTTACCGATTCCGGTGGCGTTACATTGCAATCAGTGTACTGCTTGTATGTCATAGACTTGATGGTTGGTACAGGATTAATTGAGCCACCCTATTCGAAATACGAGATTATTAATAAAAAACAGACAAGATGAAAATGTTTTTTTTGCCTATGATAGATCCCACACCAAAAAAAATCAGATTAAAATCGATTTTAAGCCTATTGCTTTTTACATGGGATGAAAAAGTTCTTTGATTTGAAATGATGTTTCAAGAATGATTCGGTAAACGTATGCAATACTTGATTTCATATTGACTTATTTAGATGTACATATATTCTAGATGAGTTACCTGTTGGAAAACAACATTATGGCGAGGAATATATGGGACTGTGGATTGTCGGACGACTGGCATGCTTTAGTATGCTTCGTGAATGTGAATCTGCACAAAAATGATTGAATTGAAATACTCCTTTTCGAAAAATTGCAGGTATGTTTTCTTTCAGTAGTGTTTGTTGCAGTTAATGTTTACCAAAATATCGTTTAGCTTGAAGAAAGAATTTCAATATCGACTTCATGCTTTCACGATATTCAAAAACGCATTTTCGTTCTCTGTTGTGACATTGAAGAAAGTATTCGAGTACCTATGGCATAATGAAAATGAAAATAAAAGAAAACAACAGTACCGACGTGAATTAAAGGCATTTAATCAGACGCGTCTTTTATACTGTCACGAGAATTTTCAATTTGATGAAAGCAAAACAAAACGAACGTAGAATGCTAATGGCCTCTTAGCTAATT